TTTTAGTGAATTGAAACTATCCAGTTGTAATGCCTTTTTTCCCTCCATTTTATTTTAAAAGCTCATGTCATTTAAAAACAAGACAAGAAATTAAAATTTATTGAATAGATCAGAGATTTTTTCCTGGAAATTTTTTTTTAAGGGTATGAGTCACCACATACTCACTTCTGCCTCACAGGAGGGGAATAAAAAGATAACAGCCATAGAAATACTATTCCCACTATAGTAGACATGCATAGTACTCTGTAAATGTGGGCTTATGCTCTATTGTGTCTTAATTGAAATTAAATATTCCTCTAAGACTCCATTTTGCCTGACTGGTGGGAGATTCAGTCTCGGTCCTTGTTGGGGTCCCTTCGCCTCCCCAGAGTCAAACAAGATTCTAAAATGTTTACAGAAACAGGAGAGGGGCTTGCAGTCTCCAGCCCAGCACCGTTTTTGCACTGCCCTCGTCAACTGAGCCCACAGAATTGCTAGGAAGGAGCAAATCCACTGTTTCTGTGGAAGGTGAGGCCCCGGCGGTCTGTGCCCAGGTGAACCCCAGTGTCCTCACCCCTCCTGAGGCCCTGCTGGTGGGACCCTCCCCCCGACCTTTGACCTCTTCCTCCTGTGGAGGAATCTTCTGTCTGTCTTCTTCCTTACGGAATTCCCCCAAGTTGGGAAAACGGCAGCCAGAAAGACAGGTTGTCTACCAGCAGCTTGAACTTCACAGCTTCTGCGGGCGAGTTTGTACGGAGAAGCCGGGCATGCGCATGAAGTGGGGACAGGGAAAAGACAGAGCCCAAAACACAAATGAATAAATATCTCCACAAATGGTCTTAGGTCACGAGTACTATTAATAAGTAGCAAACGTTTCTGAGCATGACTCTCTGCTCACACAGATGATCAAGTTTAATTCTCCAAACTTCGCCATGTGCTGAAGACAGACAACTGAGGCTTAAAGAGTTTGAGTAACCTTCCTGGTAATAAGTAGCAGAGCTGGGATTCGAACCAAGTCTGCTGGGCTCAAAATTCATCCCCTATGTTATATTTTCTCTCCCACGGGGTATTAGTAATAATTCATCTTGAGCACAGTGAGCTGCCAGCATAGGTTAGCTACAGCGGGAGCTCCCAGACAGCTCAGTGAATTCATCCACGGAACACCATTGCTCAGAGTTGTCCATCTGGTCGTCAGGGTGCATTTGCCAAGACTGGGGAACAACAGTGCTGCTTTGGGCGCAATTACTGTTTAGACAATAACTGGTCAGCATGTTCAGCTGCTTCTTGAGGTCACTCCTGGGAGATGAAGATAGGACCCCATGTCGGCATAAACAGGTTGGTTGTTTTCTTTCTGCTCTGTCAAGAGGCCATTATCTCCGTCATCTCGAAGTTACACCAAATTGCTCAGGTGCAGGTTCAAAAGCGGGGGGAGGATATGGTTCGGCCTAGTTTTCTGTTGTTTAAAATAGAAAATTGATGGATCTGAAATCCATTTTTTGCTTAATACAATTCTTGAGGTACTATTTTAATAAAATCCTTTAGTCTTTTAAAAATGTAAAGTCTTTTAAGAACATTTCAAAAGCCGTAGATCAATTTTTTTTTTTTTTTTTTTTGTGGTACGGGGGCCTCTCACTGTTGTGGCGTCTCCCGTTGCAGAGCACAGACTCCGGACGCGCAGGCTCAGTGGCCATGGCTCACGGGCCCAGCCGCTGCGTGGCATGTGGGATCTTCCCGGACCGGGGCACGAACCCACGTCTCCTGCATCGGCAGGCGGACTCTCAACCACTGCGCCACCAGGGAAGCCCTCAATTTTTTAATTGTATAGGTTGGCCCATAAATAATTCTTATTTATGGAGTCAAAACCAATGCATTCAGTGAATCAATACATAACATAGTCATTATGGCCCTACTAACCACCACCCACCCACCAAGCTGGGCATGATGGGTGATTCAAACACAGGCTGGGCTCTTTACTCAAGATGGTCATAATATGCTTTAGGGGCTTTCAAATGTTGTATGCCTCAGAATCATCCCTGAAGCTTGTCAAAAATAGAGCTGCCTGGACCCCGCTCCAGACCTACTGTCTTAGCCCGTTCGGGCTGCTAGAACAAGATACCACAGACTGGGTAGCTCAAAGCAACAGAAGTCTATTTCTCATCATTCTGGAGGCTGAGAAGTCTAAGATCAAAGTGCTAACATGGTCTTCTGGTGAGGGCCAGCTTACTGATTCATAGCTGGCACCTTTTCACTGTTTTCTTACATGGTGAGAGGGGCTAGGGAGCTCTCTGGGGCCTCCTTTTTAAGGCACTAATCCCATTTATGAGGGTTCCACCCTTATGACCTAAGTATCTCCCAAAGGCCCACCTCCTAATGTCATCATCTTTGGGAGTTAAGATTCCAACATATGCATTTTTGGGGGGACACATTTAGACCATAGCACCCATTGAATCAAAACCTTGAGTGGAGCCTGGGCACCTTTAACAAGCTCCTTAGGTGGTTCTAATACTTACCAAGGTTTTTGAGCCTGCCGTGTGGTTGATGGTGTTTTGGTAATGTAAGACACTGCAATGTTTTTCTGTGTTGTATTGCATTCTACACATGTCTATACATCATCACAGGAAGTATGTATAGGAGATATATAGACATACACGTGTATCGAGAGACACAGTAGTCTTTTATTTGCATGTATGTTGAAACGTACCTGCAGGTAAATATATACCTTTTATCTTAAATCCTAGTAAACCTTTATTGAGCGTCTGTGTGTATCAAGCATTGTTAATTCATTCAACAAGTAGTTGTTAAGAGCCTACTATGGGCCATCAGAAAATAAAACAGACAAAAGTCCCTGTCCTCAGGGAGCTATATTTTAATAGAGAAACACCAACAACAAACGAATAAGACAGTTGTATGATGATGAGCGTCATAGCAAGAAGTTAGGAGGGGTGCGGCCTGCCAGTGGTGGGGGCGGATCCCAATTTAGAATAGGGTGGTTGGGGAAGCCTTGAGGGAGGAGAGGGGGTGAGCCTTGAGGGGTGAGAGGGGGTGGATATTCGGAGCACAACTGGTCCAGGTTTGCGGAACAGGAAGTGCAAAGCCCTGATCTCAGTAGGAGTATTCCTGGTGGTTTCAGGAAATAAGGAGGCCGGGCGCTGGGACACAATAGGAGACGCAGTCAGAGAGGCAAGGAATGGGCTGAGGGAGATGTGGATCTTGTAGGGGCCTGTAGGCTTCTGGAGGAGTTTGGCTTTTACTCTGAGGGAGATGGGAAGGGTTCGGATCCTGGGATGATGTAATCTGACAGGTTTTAATGGGATCATTCTGGCCAATGAGAACAGGCTGCTGGGGGTTGGGGGGAGGCTGGAATCCAGTGACCAGTTAGGGGGCCACTGTAGTAATCCAGGGTAGAGATGGTGAATGGGCTGGGAAGGGAGCAGTGAAGGTGGCGAGAGGAACGTGGCTTCCGGTGCGCTGTGAAGGAGCCAGCAGTTTTGCTGACGGTTTGGTTGCAGAGGGTGTGAGGGCTGCAGTCGGAGGGTTTCCGAGGATGCTGGGTGTAACCGTTGGTTGTACTTACTCTCTGGCCAGGTTTGTTTCTGGATGTGGGTCATGATTTGGTGCCATCAAAATGACTGTGTTTTTGTTTTTTTATAAATTTATTTTATTTATTATTTTTGGCTGTGTTGGGTCTTCGTTGCTGTGTGCGGGGCTTTCTCTAGTGGTGGTGAGCGAGGGCTACTCTTCATTGTGGTGCGTGGGCTTCTCATTGCGGTGGCATCTCTTGTTGTGGAGCATGGGCTGTAGGCTCGCGGGCTTCAGCACGCAGGCTCAGTAGCTGTGGCTTATGGGCTCTAGAGCTCAGGCTCAGTAGTTGTGGCACACGGGCTTAGTTGCTCTGTGGCATGTGGGATCTTCCTGGACCAGGGCTCGAACCCGTGTCCCCTGCATTGGCAGGCGGATTCTTAACCACTGTGCCACCAGGGAAGCCCTGTATTTTTGTTTTTAAAACGTATCCTGTACACTTAACATTTGTAAGGTTATTGTATGTACATAATACCTTAAAGGAAAAAAACCCTCATCTTCAGGAGTGGTCAGGGTAGTCTGACTGACTGCAGTAAGACCCTGACGGGGATATTGGTAAACAGGGACTGTAGCCACAATGACGTCTCTTCCTGACATGTAGAAAAGCTGCTTTTGCCAACAAAAATATATTCTGGATATGATAATGAATAATATTTATTGCTCACTTTATTTCAAAGCACTTCTATATAAATCCTCAAAAAATCCTTTCTAAGGCTGATAGTGGAGGATAGTTCCATCCCCATTTGAGGATTCAGGAACTCGAGACCTAGAGAAGATGGCATGTGGGAAGGATGAACTCTGCTAGATCAGATCTTCTATTTCGTGACCTTCTCCTCTTGATCGTGTGGCCCAATGTGTAGTGACTGGACCTCATTCCAGGGAACAGAAGTGCGTGTGTGTGTGTGTGTGTGTGCACGTGCGTGCACGTGCATCACACTTGGGTTACTAAGTACAATGATGTGTTAAAGGAATTGGAACGGACTCTTCTTACATTCTGTAACTCAGGCCTCTTGGTCCTCGTTCTGCCTTCTCTGTCTGTTCATTTGGTCATTTTATTTCTGGATAGTAACGTTCCCTGAAGGGTGAGATAGGGAAATAAGAAGATGTGAAAGTCACATTAGGTGGCGTGGAGAATAATTTTAATAAAAGCCACAGTGGAGAATGCAGTTGTAATTAACACTAAAATGAAATTCTCAATTGCCAGGGGATTTCAGCTTGCTTCACTTTCCTGATCCTTCGTTCCGGTAAAAAAAAAAACACACACAAAAAACCCCTGAGTTTGATTATGTCACACACCTAGCAAGGCTGAGTTCTTTGTCTTGCTGAAGGAGCCATGTCTGTATTGGGATGGCTGTGAGCAGGGCCTGGGCCAGCTAACAGCATTTAATGCATTTGCCTGTTTCAGTTTGCAGTGATGACCTCACCCACAAATTCAAAGGTTTCACCGTGATGAATGAAGCAGAGAGATACGAAGCGCTGAGACACTGTCGCTATGTGGATGAAGTCATCAGAGATGCTCCGTGGACACTCACGCCAGAGTTTCTGGAAAAACACAAGGTACTTATTCTTCCACGTTCTCTAAGTAGCAGAATTAGGGAGTCGTCTGTTTCTCCAGCTCATACCCAGAAAGTCCAAAGACTCTTCTTATTTTGGCAAGAGGTAACTTCAGGCACTGTCATGTGATGTCACTTGATGCAGCACCTGTCCTGTGCCCACGCCTGGGGACCAACAGCATCCCACTTCCTCAGTGTGGTCTCTGGAGCTAGACCACTCAGGTCCATGTGTGGCTTAACTTCTTAACTGTGGGACCTTGAGCAACATACTGCACTCACTTACCTAAACCAGAACATGGCTGCTGTTTTGAGGATCTAATGAGATCATCTAGTAAAACCCTTGAAACACTGGCTGGCTCAAAGCAAGAGCTCCAAAAATGTCATCATCATTATTATTGATGCTTAGAGTTCCACAGGCATCATTTTTCATGGAACAAATGACCACATACCTTATCCAGAGGGACAGGGGTCAGGCTTTAAGGAGAGAACTGTATATCTCTGATTTTGTGACCCTGAGACTCCTACTGATAGAAGATTTTTATTAGTTGAAAACACAAGAAATCCTTTTGATCTGCATCAAATTATGTGCTTTGTATCTCCCTACCAGCCCCACATTAGGAGCTCTTCTTTCCTTTTATAAGCAGTACAAAAAAATAAGATTAAGCTGTTCTAAGAGTTTTCTATTTTTAAATTCACGATGCAGGAGAGAATAGAGAACACTGATAAATGTGCCTGGGTAATAGCAGAGCAGACAATTTCCCAGCAAGAATAAAAAGAAAAAGGAAAAACTCCAATAGGATTTACTTCCAGCAATCACTAACACATTTTTACTAAGCATCTATTGTATCTTCAACTTGTGTGCAGAATTACGGGGATGCTGATGATGGCTGCCATGTACCCAGCCCTGTGCTAAGTGCTTTGCTCTTACATGAATCACATTCAATCTCATGGCTACCCTGAGACGTTGTTGTTGTCATACACTGGAGACGAGGAACAACTAAGTTTGAGTACGAAGAATAGAATTGATGATAATAACATTTATTGAGTACTTGCTGTGTACCAGTTATTATTTTTAGCACTTTTACATAATTATATTATTTAATCCAGTGATTCTCAAGTGGGGGCAAGTTTGCCCCCAAGGGACATTTAACAGGGCCTGGAAACATTTTGGGCCATCATAACTAAAGGGGTGCTACTGGCATCTAGTGGGTAAAGGACAGGGGTGCTACTAAGCATCCTACAATGCACAGGACAGACTCTCCCCCTCCAACAAAGAATTTTTTTATATGTAAATTTATGTACTTTATTTATTTATTGGCTGCGTTGGGCCTTCGTTGCTGTGCGCGGGTTTTCTCTAGTTGCAGTGACGGGGGCTACTCTTTGTTGCGGCGCGCGGGTTTCTCATTGAGGTGGCTTCTCTTGTTGCGGAGCATGGGCTCTAGGCGTGCGGGCTTCAGTAGTTGTGGCGTGCAGGCTCAGTAGTTGTGGCTCGCGGGCTCTAGAGCGCAGGCGCAGTAGTTGTGGCGCACGGGCTTAGTTGCTCCGTGGCATGTGGGATCTTCCCGGACCAGGGCTCGAACCCGTGTCCCCTGCACTGGCATGTGGATTCTTTTTTTTTTTTTTTGTGGTACGCGGGCCTCTCACTGCCGTGGCCTCTCCCGCTGCGGAGCACAGGCTCCAGACGGGCAGGCTCAGCGGCCATGGTTCACGGGCCCAGCCGCTCCATGGCATGTGGGATCTTCCCGGACCGGGGCACGAACCCGTGTCCCCTGCATCGTCAGGTGGACTCTCAACCACTGCGCCACCAGGGAAGCCCCGGCAGGTGAATTCTTAACCACTGCACCACCGGGGAAGTCCCTCCAATAAAGAAGTATCTAGTTCAAAATGTCACTAGTAGCAAGGTTGAGAAATCCTGATTTAATCCTTACCACTAAATTATGAGTTATATAGCTAGTAAGTGGTGGGGCAGGAATCTATACCCAGCAAAATTAAACTGCTACTCTACCTCTCAAGGTGGAGTGAAGCCTTGTTAAAGGGCTTTGGAAGTTAGGCAAGAAGTTTTTACTTGATGGAGGAGGAGAACAAGGGACTAGTGAAGATCAGTAGGCACAAGGATGACAAGAAGAAAATTCTGTTTAAGGAGGTCCCCCCACCATGTGACAGAGGGATGGCTTGGAGAGGAAAGAGCCTGCAGTGAGGAAGGTCAGGTTCAAGTTGGTATTAATAATCCAGGTGATGGGGCCCTGGATTTGGCATAAGCAATGGAGAGGAAGTGATGGGTGTATGCACTTATGTACACACACACACACACACACACACACACACACACACACACACACACA